TGTACCTTTCAGAACTGCTGTAGGGTAGGGTCTTGTACCTTTCAGAACTGCTGGAGAGTAGGGTGCTGTTCTGTACACAGAAACACATTGTAAAGCAGAACTTTGGCTCACAAAAGCCTTTGGAGAAGTGTTCTAGAGCGGCAATAGGCTACAATCATAGAGCCCCCGTGTGTGGCAAAATTTAGGAGATATCTAATCAATGGAAGATGGAATTAAAATGACGGAATTAAAAGTTAAAGGAGAAGGATAGGCTACAACGACAAAGAGCCACCAGTAGGCAAGCTGCTATTTAATATTCTGAATGGAGTTGTTGTTATTTGTAACTGCAGGATGAGAAAGCGCATGCACTGCAGCCTCAATTAGCCTAGCTAGCTGACGTTAGCTAGCTTAACTAGCTTCTCCCAGTTTGATGCAGTGCCTTAGACCACTGTGCCACTTCTCCCGAGTGGCACAGTGGTCTAAGGCACTGCATCGCAGTGCTAGCTGTGCCACTAGAGATCCTGGTTCGTATCCAGGCTCTGTCGTTGCCGGCCGCGACCGGGAGACCCATGGGGCGGCGCACAATTGGCCCAGCGTCGTCCAGGGTAGGGGAGGGAATGGCCGGCAGGGATGTAGCTCAGTTGGTAGAGCATGGCGTTTGCAACGCCAGGGTTGTGGGTTCGATTCCCACGGGGGGCCAGTATGAAAAATAATGTATGCACTCACTAACTGTAAGTCGCTCTGGATAAGAGCGTCTGCTAAATGACTAAAATGTAAATGTAAATGTAATGATGCAGTCAAGACAGGTACTACGTACTCATATTTGATTATAAATAACCTAGCTATGGCAGCTTTTAGTCTACTGTAGCACGAGTCGGCTTGGTTGGTTGCTGTCTCACGTCGCTCCCTCCCTCCTCCCCATGTCACTCACTCACAGTACGGCCCCTCCCCCACATGCTAGAGCGGCTCCTCTCTCTCCCTCTTCTCGCACTTTATCAGCTCTGGTTAATAAAGTAGCTTAAAAAAGGGCTTTTCTGCTGCTTCCCTCACTCGGACCGGGTCTGGATCTGACCAGTTCTATATGGAACGGGTCTAGTTGTCCTCGGTTCTGTTCGGAACGGGTCTCTATATTTAAAAATATATATTTGTGCATATCGAGTGCGGATGGCAAAGCACCAGGTCCATTTCGGAAGGGGTCCAACTTTTTGAACCCTTGAAGACCTCTACCTCCCAGCATTACACAACCCTCTCCAGTCCAGTCTGACCCGCAGCCAGCCACACTGTGAGGAATGACAATCACTCTTAATCAAATCAAATCAAATTTTATTGGCCACATGCGCCGAATACAACAGGTGCAGACATTACAGTGAAATGCTTACTTACAGCCCTTAACCAACAGTGCATTTCTTTTTAACAAAAAAAGTAAAAATAAACAACAACAAAAAAAGTGTTGAGAAAAAAAGAGCAGAAGTAAAATAAAATAACAGTAGGGAGGCTATATATACAGGGGGGTACCGGTGCAGAGTCAATGTGCGGGGGCACCGGCTAGTTGAGGTAGTTGAAGTAATATGTACATGTGGGTAGAGTTAAAGTGACTATGCATAAATAATTAACAGAGTAGCAGCAGCGTAAAAGGATGGGGTGGGGGGGCAGTGCAAATAGTCCGGGTAGCCATGATTAGCTGTTCAGGAGTCTTATGGCTTGGGGGTAGAAGCTGTTGAGAAGTCTTTTGGACCTAGACTTGGCACTCCGGTACCGCTTGCCGTGCGGTAGCAGAGAGAACAGTCTATGACTAGGGTGGCTGGAGTCTTTGACAATTTTGAGGGCCTTCCTCTGACACCGCCTGGTATAGAGGTCCTGGATGGCAGGAAGCTTGGCCCCAGTGATGTACTGGGCCGTACGCACTACCCTCTGTAGTGCCTTGCGGTCGGAGGCCAAGCAGTTGCCATACCAGGCGGTGATGCAACCAGTCAGGATGCTCTCGATGGTGCAGCTGTATAATTTTTTGAGGATCTGAGGACCCATGCCAAATCTTTTCAGTCTCCTGAGGGGGAATAGGCTTTGTCGTGCCCTCTTCACGACTGTCTTGGTGTGTTTGGACCATGATAGTTCGTTGGTGATGTGGACACCAAGGAACTTGAAGCTCTCAACCTGTTCCACTACAGCCCCGTCGATGAGAATGGGGGTGTGCTCAGTCCTCTTTTTTTTCCTGTAGTCCACAATCATCTCCTTTGTCTTGGTCACGTTGAGGGAGAGGTTGTTGTCCTGGCACCACACGGCCAGGTCTCTGACCTCCTCCCTATAGGCTGTCTCATCGTTGTCGGTGATCAGGCCTACCACTGTTGTGTCGTCGGCAAACTTAATGATGGTGTTGGAGTCGTGCCTGGCCATGCAGTCATGGATGAACAGGGAATACAGGAGGGGACTGAACACGCACCCCTGAGGGGCCCCCGTGTTGAGGATCAGTGTGGCAGATGTGTTGTTACCTACCCTTACCACCTGGGGGCGGCCCATCAGGAAGTCCAGGATCCAGTTGCAGAGGGAGGTGTTTAGTCCCAGGATCCTTAGCTTAGTGATGAGCTTAGAGGGCACTATGGTGTTGAATGCTGAGCTGTAGTCAATGAATAGCATTCTCACGTAGGTGTTCCTCTTGTCCAGGTGGGAAAGGGCAGTGTGGAGTGCAATAGAGATTGCATCATCTGTGGATCTGTTGGGGTGGTATGCAAATTGGAGTGGGTCTAGGGTTTCTGGGATAATGCTGTTGATGTGAGCCATGACCAGCCTTTCAAAGCACTTCATGGCTACAGACGTCAGTGCTACGGGTCGGTAGTCATTTAGGCAGGTTATCTTAGAGTCCTTGGGCACGGGGACTATGGTGGTCTGCTTGAAACATGTTGGTATTACAGACTCAGTCAGGGACATGTTGAAAATGTCAGTGAAGACACTTGCCAGTTGGTCAGCACATGCTCAGAGTACACGTCCTGGTAATCCGTCTGGCCCTGCGGCCTTGTGAATGTTGACCTGCTTAAAAGTCTTACTCACATCGGCTACGGAGAGCGTGATCACATAGTCATCCGGAACAGCTGGTGCTCTCATCTCGAAGCGAGCATAGAAGTGGTTTAGCTCGTCTGGTAGGCTTGTATCACTGGGCAGCTCGCGGCTGTGCTTCCCTTTGTAGTCTGCAATAGTTTTCAAGCCCTGCCACATCCGACGAGCATCAGAGCCAGTGTAGTACGATTCAATCTTAGTCCTGTATTGACTCTTTGCCTGTTTGATGGTTCGTCGGAGGGCATAGCGGGATTTCTTATAAGCGTCCGGGTTAGAGTCCCGCTCCTTGAAAGCGGCAGCTCTACCCTTTAGCTCAGTGCGGATGTTTCCTGTAATCCATGGCTTCTGGTTGGGGTATGTACGTACGGTCACTGTGGGGATGACATCATTGATGCACTTATTGATGAAGCCAGTGACTGATGTGGTGTACTCCTCAATGCTGTCTGAAGAATCCCGGAACATGTTCCAGTCTGTGCTAGCAAAACAGTCCTGTAGCTTAGCATCTGCGTCATCTGACCACTTTTTTTATTAACCGAGTCACTGGTGCTTCCTGCTTTAGTTTTTGCTTATAAGCAGGAATCAGGAGGATAGAGTTATGGTCAGATTTGCCAAATGGAGGGCGAGGGAGAGCTTTGTATGCGTCTCGGTGTGTGGAGTAAAGGTGGTCCAGAGTTTTTTTTTCTCTGGTTGCACATTTAACATGCTGGTAGAAATGAGGTAGAACGGATTTAAGTTTCCCTGCATTAAAGTCCCCGGCCACTAGGAGCGCTGCATCTGGATGAGCGTTTTCCTGTTGATTTATGGCCTTATACAACTCATTCAGTGCAATCTTAATGCCAGCATTGGTTTGTGGTGGTAAATAGACAGCTATGAAAAATATTGATGAAAACTCTCTTGGTAAATAGTGTGGTCTACAGCTTATCATAAGATACTCTACCTCAGGCGAGCAAAACCTCGAGACTTCCTTAGTATTTGATTTTGTGCACCAGCTGTTGTTTACAAATATACACATACCGCCACCCCTTGTCTTACCAGAGTCAGCCGTTCTATCCTGCCGATGTAGCGTATAGCCCGCTAGCTGTATGTTATCCATGTCGTCGTTCAGCCACGACTCGGTGAAACATAATATATTACAGTTTTTAATGTCCCGTTGGTAGGATAACCGTAATCTTAGGTCATCCAATTTGTTCTCCAATGATTGAAGATTGGCTAATAGGATTGATGGGAGTGGCAGTTTACTCGCTCGCCGTCGGATCCTTACAAGGCACCCCGACCTACGTCCACGATATCTCCGTCTATTCCTCATGCGAATGACGGGGATTTGGGCCTTGTCGGGTGTCTGTATGATATCCTTCGCGGCCGCCTCGTTGAAGAAAAATCTTCGTCCAATACGAGGTGAGTAATCGCTGTCCTGATATCCAGAAGCTCTTTTTGGTTATAAGAGACGATGGCAGAAACATTATGTACAAAATAAATTACAAATAACGCGGAAAAACACACATAATAGTACAATTGGTTAGAGGGCTGTAAAACGGCAGCCATCTTCTCCGGCGCTGTTCTAGGATGTTCTAGGATGCAGACGTTTACAACTAAACATGTCTCCAACAAAGGAAACTATCAATATCCTGTTCCTAAATCAAAACAAACAATGAGGAAAAACTTGTGTTACTTACAGAGAGAGGCAGAACTCAAATAAAACAGGCAGGACTCCTTCACAGGAGGCAGAGCAGTAAAGAGAAGCCCACTGTCCTTGAAAAGCAATTTACAGACAGCAACCTTGAGCCCAGCTTAGCACCAAAGAACTACCAGAGATGAGGATGGCAGGGCCTAGGAAAACAGCGGTCAAAGCCCAATCTCTCCAAACAGACATGCACACACCAAGACTCACATGTAGGCTACTGCTACACAATTCATTCACACTAACCACTCTCTCTCCCCCTCACACACTCAGACAAACATACACATACAGAGACATGCACACACACACACACACACACACACACACACACACACACACACCACAGGACAGTCCAGGACAACACACAGAGCTGAATAGATCCCCACCGGTGGTTCCAGTCATTCAGTGGAGGGTGTTATATTCCTGGTCGTCATGCTCACTCTGGTGTGGTGGGGCAAATAGGGTGTGTGTGGGCTGTTTTCATCCGCCAAACACACACAGCCCTGTCCCTGCCGTGTCTGTCTCCAGTCCCAGACCTCCCCCACATGACTGGAGCAGGGATTATGACAGGCGTCTACAATAATAATCACACCCTGTAGGAAGACCAGCCCCACTGTTTACCCCCTTCCAGTTCCCCCCACCACTCCACTGTGCCAGCCACCAAGAACATGCTTTGACAGAAAGATTGTTGGGAAAGGCAGGGTACAGGGGCTGTGACGTGTATAAATAAAGTTATTACTGTTCAAATAGGTAAGGAGAGAGCCTGTACTGTACTGTAGGTGTGTCCTACTACTTGTCAGTCCTTTCCTTTTTGAACCGCATCACCCCTACATAGATCAGAGGTCAGGTCGTAGTGTGAGAGACAGAGAGGAATGCTAAAATGGAGGGAGAGAGTGAGAGGGCAGGGGATAAGGCGAGGTGTGTGTGTGTGTGTTCTGGTGCGGTAATCGATAAGGCTGTGATTGAGGGAACGTGGGGGAGTGTGTGTGTGTCCCAGAGGAGCAGATGGAAGGCTATCAGCTGGGCCGGGGGCCAGCAGAGGCAGGATAGATTTATGACACCGTGCTCTGATGAACTTCTGATTTAGTGAGCCGCTAAACTGCCCCACAGAGGTGGGTGGCAGAGCTAGCAATGGAGCGAAAGCATGCCATTAATTCGAGGCAGAGAGAGAGAGGGTAGAGAGAGTGAGAGCGAGTAAAGAGAGAGGGAGAGTGAAACTATCATTCTAATGCTCCGGTGGGAATATTCTCTTCCTCTCTGAAAGAAGCACGCGTCTTCTCTGTGGTTTTCATGGCAACACATTGACTAACTTCACTATAATGGAAGAGAAATTAAAAAGTTGTCGGAGGGGACAAATAACCATATGATAGAATGGGAAGCTTCAGTCCCTTTCAGAGTTTTCCCAAGACATTGTCTGAGGCAGAGAACAAAGAGAGCAGCAAAGCAACCCTGACACAAGTACTTTCTGTACTGGCAAGGGATACACAGCTCTTCAATGTCAACGACAGGCATTGGCTTTGAAAGTGTAGGCATTAGGAACCAACACTGCACTGTGTGACGTGGTCGAGTGGCAAGAAACAGTCAGTTTTGCTGATCTAAGGTCAGTTTTGCTCCTTTCGCCATCTAATCTGAGCTGGGCTTTGGGATGGTAAGAACTGGGTTGAGAGCGCTCACTCACCTTCCTCTTCTTGAAAGCCTGTCTGGCCAGGTATCCTCTGCAGGCAGCCTGGAACATGGTGATGTTGCGTCTGGTCTGGATGTCGCTCTGCTCCTCCAGTTTGGCCAGGGTCCCCGCTCTGAAGAACACCTGGTGAGAGACAGGGGCAGTTAGATACTGATTAATCATGACACTAGAATTGTATTGAAGCCAGACAGGGAGCAGGTGTGTGTGTGCAAGGTTGCACAATACAATGGAATAGAAGTACAATAAACAGAAAACTGAAAATGTGCAACTTTTTCATTTGGGGGTATTGTGGCATACAAACGAAGAATTACATTAATTTCTTTTTACATGATTCAAAGTTGCTGAGTTGGAATCCCCCTAAAAATCTGCAACTATACATCTGGGATTGGGGAATTGAATATCAACTACATCACGTCCTGCGTTTACTTTGCATTTCAATGGTGTTAACAGTGGGGGCTTTTAATTGAGTTGGATTACCCGATCTGCTCTGGGAGATTGGGTGGGGCGCTGCTGGTGGACTTCTCTACAGTTTCTCAGTCCAGAGCTGAAAGCTCATCAAACTCATTGAATGCTGCCGAATTGCATTAGCATGCTAATAGTGTTAGTGGGAGAGCTATGCTTAACTTCACAAAAGCCTCATTAAAACTCCCTTGTGTTAGCAACACATGCGGCTGCCACGGCTACAGAAAGGAAAATAATAAAGACAGGAAGTTTCTGGGGAAACTCTAAAACGACAGGTAGAGTTTGTGGTGAAGCTTCTCTTGGATTTAGCCGTCATCTCCTGTTAGTCAGAGGCACTGTGTTTTCTTCAACTCTAAAACAATTGAGATGGTTAGTCCACAGTGTTTTGTTCAGATTTCACCAAGCGGCTCCTCAAGACGGGAGCGTTATGCAGCAACTGCATCATGACGCATCTGGATTGATCTAACACAGTACTCCAGGGCCCTTAACAACCTATCATCCTCCATCAGAGGCACAGGATGAGAGAAAATACTTTACCCAGCCCAGACAACGCTCAGAGCCCAGCTCTCAGGGAAGTGTGTGTACAGCCAAGCCAATAGCCCATGAAGAGAGTGGGCTGGGCGCGGTGAAAACACACAGCACCAACACACCCACACTTCTCTGCCGTAGGGCAACGCGTCCGACTGGAAAGGTTATGTCTTTACCTCCAGAGAACATCGGATTGAGTTTGCTACCTCTATTGTCAGTAGTAGAGGATTTATCATACACTATATGGGCATTCTGTTATATGGATCCAAAATAACATGTTAACAAATCAACAGCTTGCATGGTATGCTTGCATTAACAATGCACACTTCTAACTGCTCCCCGGGCGCCAATGACGTGGATGTCGATTAAGGTACACACTATCACATCACGATGAGGAGGAGCTGAGAGAATACTCTCCAGCCTGTGACTTTCCTGCCCACCATCACGACCTGCTAGTGAGGCAACCGCTAAGCAACGCCAATGGGATGTGTGATGTGTCAGAGTAAACGGCCCAGTCACACAGGCCTTCCCCCCATAGCGGGATGACCTTCTGCATAGCAATGACTGTCAGCGTGGGCGAAGGAACATACTGAATGCAACTCTAAATGTCGACTGAGGTCGTGGGCCGTTCCAGTGGGTCACTTGGGGCTTGTTGTTTTGTCAGTAACCTCAGCCTCTTGTCCATTTTCCTCAGCATGACGAGATATGGGAAGGCACACACACACTCAAACATTGCCTACGTCAAACTTCCCTAAACATACAGTACCAGTCAAAAGTTTTAGAACACCTACTCATTCAAGGGTTTTGTCTTTATTTTTACTATTTTCTACATTGTAGAATAATAGTGAAGACATCAAAACTATGAAATAACACATTATGAATCATGTAGTAACCAACAAATCAAAATATATTTGAGATTCTACAAATAACCACACTTTGCCTTGATGACAGCTTTGCACACTCTTGGCATTCTCTCAACCAGCTTCACCTGGAATGCTTTTCAACAGTCTTGAAGGAGTTACAACATATGCTGAGCACTTGTTGGCTGCTTTTCCTTCACTCTGCCGTCCGACTCATCCCAAACCATCTCAATTTGGTTGAGGTCAGAGGATTGTGGAGGCCAGGTCATCTGATGCAGCACTACATCACTCTCCTTCTTGGTAAAATAGCCCTTACACAGCCTGGGGTGTGTTGGGTCATTGTCCTGTTGAAAAACAAATGATAGTGGGACTAAGCCCAAACCAGTTGGGATGGCGTTCGCTGCAGAATGCTGTGGTAGCCATACTGGTTAAGTGTGCCTTGAATTCTAAATAAAACACAGACAGTGTCACCAGCAACGCACCCCCACACCATAACACCTCCTACTCCATGCTTTACGGTGGGAACTACACATGCGGAAATCATCTGTTCACCCACACCGCGTCTCACAAAGACACGGCGGTTGGAACCAAAAATCTCCAAATTTGGACTCCAGACCAAAGGCAAATTTCCACCGGTCTAATGTCCATTAATCATGGCCCAAGCAAGTCTCTTCTTCTTATTGGTGTCCTTTAGTAGTGGTATCTTTGCAGCAATTCGACCATGAAGGCCTGATTTACACAGTCTCCTTTGAACAGTTGATGTTGAGATGCTTCTGTTACATTTATTTGGGCTGCAATTTCTGAGGCTGGTAACTCTAATGAACTTATCCTCTCCAGCAGAGGTAAATCTAGGTCTTCCATTCCTGCGGCGGTCCTCATGAGAGCCAGTTTCATCATAGCGCTTGATGGTTTTTGCGACGGCACTTGAAGAAACGTTCAAAGTTCTTGAAAGGTTCCATATTGACTGACCTTCATGTCTTAAAGTAATGATGGACTGTCGTTTCTCTTTGCTTATTTGAGCTGTTCTTGTATAATATGGAATTGGTCTTTTACCAAATAGGGCTATCTTCTGTATAACCCCCTACCTTGTCACAACACAACTGATTGGCTCAAACGCATTAAGAAGGAAAGAAATTCCACAAATTAACTTTTAAGAAGGCACACCTGTTAATTGAAATGCATTCCAGGTGACTACCTCATGAAGCTGGTTGAGAGAATACCAAGAGTGGCAAAGCTGTCATCAAGGCAAAGGGTGGCTATTTGAAGAATCTCAAATATACAATATATTTTGATTTGTTTAACACTTTTTTGGTTACTACATGATTGCATATGTGTTATTTAATAGTTTTGATGTCTTCACTATTATTTTACAATGTAAAAAAGAGTAAAAATAAAGAAAAGCCATCGAATGAGTAGGTGTGTCCAAACTTTTGACTGGTAGTGTACTTTTCCTACTGTTTACTTCAGAACAATACTTCCCGCTGTCCTCTATTCCATGGATATTCTGAAAAAGCTAATTAGCAATTTATCAGCCTGTCCTTTCCTTTGGATTTTCTCTTTTGCATCTGAAAGGTTTGAATCTCACTGTGCTGATTGGTGTTTGTGGAGGGTTATCGGCAAGCCACAGCGAAGCACCACAAACCAAGAGAGCTGTCGCCTGCCAAAATCAATGGCTACAGGGGGCAACAGGAGGGAAAACAACAAAGAGAAAGCCAGACTTCTTTTCTTCTGAAGAAGCAGAAGAACTGTGGAGCAACCTTCCCCGGCCCAACTGAAAGTCAAACCTGATCAGTGTGTGTGTGTGTGTGTGTGTGTGTGTGTGTGTGTGTTTGGGGGGGGGGGTAATTGTCACCCAGTGTCGCCAACCGCCAACTAACAGACAAAGGCTGCTAGCCCAGGGACCCAGCAGCAGACCTATGATTCCAGTGAGAAGGGCATGCTGGGTAAATAGCTGTCCCTCCCAGGCAGAGACAGAACACCTTAGGGCCTGATTTAGACTGTACTAAGCCTTCACACCTATTGTCATAGAGTCACCTGTAGTCATAACACTTTTACGAAGCATGTAGTAATGATTTATACATAGTTCATTATTAGTTTACATATTCTCTCTCTCTGTGTGTCTGTGTGTGTGTGTCTGTGTGTTACTTACCCTGCTCAGGCCCATGTGGTAACTGCTGTTCTCCAAGTCTAGAGACTCCAACAGCTCCTCCACAGCCTGAAACAAAACAGATAAATGGACAGACAGATCAATGAAGAGATCAACAGAAATGGACAAACAGACAGACAGTGCTCTTGTAAAGTCAGCTCCCCTCTGTCGTCGCCCCAAAGTACTGCACACAGCGCCATAGCAACAGGCACACTCCTCGAACATCAGCCTATCCACCAGGAGACTGCAGACCAAAACAACTCAGCGAACAAAGCTACAGCTAAGGCACCAAGCTAGCTATCTGTAACCTCCATTTCAGGTCGTTTCTGTGACAGGAGTCTAAATATGGACTGTATACTGTATCTAAAGCAATCTCAGGAGAGGTGGAGGAGGAGGAGGGGTCTTTAAAGTTCGACTAAAAAGTGAAGTTGGAAGATAGCTGGAGCCTCAAGGGGGAGGATGAGAGTTAAGTTGAACAAAATTAGCTGTTTTAAAGTAACTGTCCAGTGTTTCCAAAGTTCTATGAAATATGACCTTTAATGAATTACAATATGAATGAAATAGTTTTCCTTCCCAAAAAATTGTAATTAAATATGTTAAAAAGCAGCTTTTCTGTGTTGGAATGGTGTGGGCATACCCCAACAACAGAATGTTGTGTGCGTGTAACCGGTCATTAAAAGTATTCATACGAGTAGCCCACTGATTGGTCAGCTCAACCTCATCAGGAGGATTACATCATCTTCTCCGAGGAAAGAGCAAGCATTTTTGAAAAAGTCTGTATGAGGTGGGTTTTTTAAAGTATTTTCTCTCCAATTTATGCTTTGGCCACAAATACTAGTATAGGATGACTCAACCACATTATTTGGGTATGAGCTAACAGAATATTACACTTTTAAAAGTGGACAGTGGACAGTTACTTAAAGGACTTTTGGCAGAGAGGATACCTGCAGGATTACTGGGTCTGGTAGGTAAAGAGGCTCAGTGGAGGATGAAGTCACTACAGCCACAGTAACACAGCTACAGTAACACAGCTACAGTAACACCACAGTACGACAGTAACACGCCTACAGTAACACACCCAGTACCAGCTAAGTAACACAGCTACAGTAACACCGCTACAGTAACACCGCTACAGTAACACAGCTACAGTAACACCGCTACAGTAACACCGCTACAGTAACACCGCTACAGTAACACAGCTACAGTAACACCGCTACAGTAACACAGCTACAGTAACACAGCTACAGTAACACAGCTACAGTAACACAGCTAAACCGTAGTAACACGCTACAGTAACACAGCTACAGTAACACGCTACGAAACGCTACAGTAACACCGCTACAGTAACACAGCTACAGTAACACAGCTTACAGTAAACACCGCTACAGTAACACGCTACAGTAACACGCTACAGTAACACAGCTACAGTAACACACGCTACAGTAACAACAACAGCTACAGTAACACAGCTACGTAACAGCTACAGTAACACGCTACAGTAACACACGCTACAGTAACACCGCTACAGTAACACAGCTACAGTAACACAGCTACAGTAACACATAAACCGCTACAGTAACACCAGCTACAGTAACACAGCTACAGTAACACAGCTACAGTACAAGCTGAACACGCTACAGTAACACCGCTACAGTAACACGCTACAGTAACACAGCTACAGTAACACGCTACAGTAACACAGCTACAGTAACACAGCTACTCACGTATACACAGCTACAGTACACCACAGACACCGCTACAGTAACACGCTACAGTAACAACCACCCTCTACAGTAACACAGCTACAGTAAACACGCTACAGTAACACCGCTACAGTAACACCGCTACAGTAACACCGCTACAGTAACACAGCTACAGTAACACACGCTACAGTAACACAGCTACAGTAACACCGCTACAGTAACACAGCTACAGTAACACAGCTACAGTAACACAGCTACAGTAACACCGCTACAGTAACACAGCTACAGTAACACAGCTACAGTAACACAGCTACAGTAACACACGCTACAGTAACACAGCTACAGTAACACAGCTACAGTAACACAGCTACAGTAACACAGCTACAGTAACACAGCTACAGTAACACCACAGTAACACAGCTACAGTAACACAGCCACAGTAACACAGCTACAGTAACACAGCTACAGTAACACAGCTACAGTAACACAGCTACAGTAACACAGCTACAGTAACACCGCTACAGTAACACCGCTACAGTAACACAGCTACAGTAACACTGCCATGCAGCCCACGCTAAGAGGAAGAGACAGACAGGCTTCTAGCTCGAGAGAGAGGGCTTTGTTTGAGTTCTCGTTGGAAAAAAAAGAACATTTTCTAAGATGCTGACACAGGGGAAAACCTCTTACTCCCCTCTCGCTTTCTTTCTGTCTTTCCTCTCTCCTCCCTCTCCCCCGCTCCCGCTTCCCCTCCCCCTCTCCCGCTCTCCCACCCCGCTCCCCCTCGGTCTGTCTAGCTCCAGAGAATGAAGTACCTTTTTGTCCATTAATTATTTCTGCCAAGGAGTCTCATTTTCTCTTTAACTCTTCCATAGCTCCCTGTATGTTTTAGCACCAGAATGGTTTAGCTGTGACAGAGAGGACCTCTAACTGCTCTACTTCAAAAACACAACCTCCTTACACAACAATGAAAATAACATATTTCAGCCAAGAGAATGTCTATTCCATTTATTCAATTCCAGCTACAACGGTTAATATTTAATATTTCTACATCCAAAAATACTTTTACTAGATTCCTAAGTTTTAACCACACTTATGAGTAGGTAGGGTAGGTTAATAGCTTTTTTACTATTACACCATACAGTAGGTACTGAAGACAGAAAGAGAGGAAGAAGAGATGGAAGGGGAGGATGGAGAGGAGGCACGTAATTAATCAGCACACCAGTCATATGCTGCCAGCCAACGTAATCATAATTAATTACACACAAGAGCAGATCTAGGAGGGGGAGGGAGAGAAGAGGAGGAGGAAAGGAGGGATGCTTTTATATTCTCATTTGTTTACGAAGTGGAGGGAACGCCTCGACACTCACTCTCTTCTCGTCTGTGACGATGTAGTGGCGCCCATGCTTTTTGGTCAGGTGGGGCGCCAGCACGTCGAAGCGCCGTCGGAACTCGGAAAACACCATGTGATCAGGGTATCCTTTATGGAAAAGACAGAACAAGGTCAACATTTATTTAATAATTTGTATTATTAAACAGTTCAATAAGAAGAATTAAGGGGGAAAATGTCCCTCTCCCATGACTTAGCTTGACTTGGGTGGTGTCTTACCTTGCCTGTAGATGCGCAGGGCGTCGATAAGCTTAGATCCACGGAGCTGAGCCCTCAGGAGGCCCACATCCAGCTGCATGAGGCCTGAATCGCAGCTCTCTCCATGGGCCACGCGCGGGTCCCCGCCCACCCCCACCGCGTCTGCCTTGGGCAGCAGGCAGTGGACAAAGTGAACCCTGGACCTGCGCACCGTGTCCAGCAGAGCATCCTGGAGAGACGGAGAACAGGGAGTTAAAGCATTTACACACACACACAAAAAAAAACACATGAACAAACACAAATACTTAATTTTGTACACATTTGCATGTATAAATTAATGTTTATATAGTTTTATTTGAATAACAAAGTTCTTCAGAGCAACTTGGGCCTAAACCCTCTCAAAGAGGAAGCAGAGGTAGGCCTTGGGTGGGGAGAAACCGCCCCACTCACCACTTGCAGTTTGATCTGGATACAGAGGCTCTTCTTCTTGACAGCGGCCATGCCTGTAGTGAAGGTCTTCCTCATGCTGGTGGCTCTGCGGAGGGCCAGCTGAGATCCCCCCTCCAGCCCTGCGATGGAGCCAGACAGCACTGTGGGCCCTCCACTACGACTAGAGAACAGACTGCTGATGTTCTTCCTGTTAGAGAGAGAGAGAGAGAGACAGAGAGAGAGACAGAGAGACAAAGAGGTAAGTATATTTTCTTTGTAAAGTGCTACTATGGAGAACACTCAGTGAATTAAATGCGTACTTCTGTGAGTCCTGCAGCAGAGTGGCAGCGTTCTGGGAGGCGGGGTTCTGCTTGGCGTGGCTCAACCAACCCTGAGCATCGTACTCCACCCAGTCTGTCCCGTGGCTGTGGCCCAACAGGAAATGATGCGGCTTGTCGCTCTTCAGGAGCAGGGCGTGTCCCTTGTTGTCCCCCTGGTCGGGGCCGTAGTAGCTGAAGAGTCTCTCCAGAAGAGTGTCCTCAGAGCCCCCTGGCTGCACAGCCTCCTCCTCCATCAGCCACAGCAGACCTCGAGCCTCATCTGTCCTCGCCAGGGTACGCACCTGGGACCATCGCAGGAACACACACAGGTTAGAGAGGTGGGGATCTATCACTTGAGTCTAACACAAACACAAGTGAAGCAGCTGTGCAGAAAGCTTAGGTCCACAGCTCGGTCCAACATGCAGGTGCAGCTTTCACAAGCAACTCAGACACACATTAGACCACAACAGCACAGAGATGCTCACCAATCTCCACTCCACCAGTCATCCATCCATTCACGACACTGTTAACTCCATACACAGCAACACCCAATAAAGCCAAAACCAATAAAGCAACCTAGTCTCCTATTTTTTTTACTCATCGTTTAAATGTCACAACACGGCCTTCAGCCCTGGCCCAGTGTTACCATAACATTACACCTGCTTTGCTGTGACACTTGTATAAACTCGTAATTATGAACTAGCACAGTGTTCAAACGGCCTAATATGATTCAACATCTCTGTTCTACATTTCTGTAACAAAACAAGTCATTTTGTAAAGGTAATCATAATGTTTTGGAAAATAGGAAGCTATAAGAGAGATGAGTCTTTGCTTCCTCATTCTAGAGCTGCTATTAAAATGCACTCCTGGGCAGTGGAGCATTTAGAAACCTTGCTCTCTGACAGTCCACTTTGATAATAAATGGTGTTATTAGTCTATGTGAGAGTGTAGACACCTCTTTGGTGGACTCATTAAATCTCTCTATGGATGTAGGGAGGTGCAGGCAGGGCTACTTGAAGTGGTTCACAACTAGTGAAGCGAAAGCCTTTAAAATTATTTGCCAATTTAAATATTTAAACTGCTAGAAGCACTGCAGATCTGTTGTACTGTGTTGGTTTCTCTAGTAGCAGTCAACTTAATCAATTGGCAAGTCAGGTAAATCTCGATCCTTTTCAGAGAGAGATGAGAAATAAGAAGCTCTTATTCAGAATGATCCTATACCCTCACAGTATTTGACACTGCAAGCTGGAGGTGAATGACCTGTGGATATTACTTGGATTCTAATATGTCCTTTTTTCATCTATAGATCTGCTGTTCTTTTTATGATGCATTTTTCTCCTTGTGTGAGTTGGTTTCCAATAAGTATGGCGCTGGTTCAATGCCGTTTGTTTGTCTGACTTATAGCCGTGTTTGGCCATGCGTGCCCTTGTGCACTAATTCGATGACAAACACACACACACACGCAAACACACACACAAAGTTATTTACTTTCGTCTCAACTTTTCAATCAATTCCTGTGTGGCCCCCTCCTCATTCACTTTTGATCTAATTCTTGTTAATGTCACTTTCGCGGGCCAATACACATCAATGCAACACATTTCTGTTAAGAACGCGTGCCATGCAGAGTCGTCTCATAAATAAACTGAATTTGATGGCTTTGCTCTGAGAAGTCAACCCTGACTGAAAAAAGCTTTCAACTCATCGAGGGTGAAAGGAATCAAACTCGACTGCAATTAATATCTTTGATGTGGGATGAATTCCAAAAACTAAATTGCTAGGATAAAAGAAAACAAATAAAAACGAGCAAACAATCAAAAGCCAAGTTAACTGGATGGAGGTAATAAGCCTGACATGGCTTACACACAGTCATTTGTCTGACAGACACATTTGAATTAGGGGAGCCCTTTCATTGGCAAAGAAGAGAGAGAGTAAGGACTGTGTTTAACCCCACTTGACGCTCACAACATGATGAAATCCAAGATAAAGTCCATTACTGATACTGTACATTCAAAAGAGGCACAGAGAGATTATCCTTACCAGCGCTTGGGTTGTTGCTTGGTCTATAGCTGCTACAGACATTGAGGTACTGGACTCTATGTCATCTAATGCAAGCTCTATGTTTTCCTAGATGGGAACAGAGGGGTTGGTTATGTGTGATTGGAGTCAGTGATTTTCAGAGTTAAAGATCCGCTTATGTAAGAGTCTATAGACAATTACATTACAATCAAAAAAGCTCAATCTGACGTTTTATGTTATTTTCACACTAAAACAATACAGGTATGTTAATGACATTTATGATTTTATTCTTCAGGAAGTTTAAAAATCGGGGGAGAGGGTTTGAGATTTTCAAATCATTGGTATACTTCTACTATGTAATGGTGAAGGTATTTGTCAGTGTTGTACATATCTGTACCTCCTTATATCTCTCCAGCTCCTGTACAAAGGTGCGTTCGTGGAACAGGGTCTGCAGGCGCTCCTGGGCGTAGTTGTGGCACAGCTCCTCGAAGGTGGCACCGCGCTGGAGCTTGGCCATGCGAGGGTTCTGGAAACCCGGTGTGTCCACGATGAGCAGAGAGCACAGAGAGTGCTGACTGGACTTCAGAGCTCTGACACACGATACAAAGGATCAGAAGAGAAAGAGAGAAAGAGAGAGAGAGAGAGAGAGAGAGAGAGAGAGAGAGAGAGAGAGAGAGAGAGAGAGAGAGAGAGAGAGAGAGAGAGAGAGAGAGAGAGAGAGAAAAATGATGGGAATCCGAGCCATTCAAACAGAGAGATAATGTAGATAAATAACGGTAAAGTAAGAAATATGAGAAAGAGGAGAAAAGAGAGATGAGCTGACAGACCTGTTGACGAGGGAGATAGCGAGGGTGAAGAGCTCTGAGTACAGGCCTGAAGCCATGGCCTCCAGACAATCCAGGGCTGTGATCTTAGAGCCTGAGGGATGGGAGAGAGGAGCAGATAGGAGAGAGATGATAAGGAGAGAGATGAGAGAGAGGAGAGAGAGATGCGAGAGAGGAATAAGAGAGAGAGAGATAGATAGAGAGGAGAGATATAGAGAGAAGAGAAGATAGAGAGAGACCCATATCTATGTTTATTTATTTTCCCTTTTGTACTTGAACTACTTGCACATTGTTACAACACTGTATATAGCCATACTATGACATTTGAAATGTCTCTATTCCTTTGGAACTTTTGTGAATGTAATGTATACTTTTCATTTTTGTTTGTTTATTTCACTTTTGTTTATTATCCATTTCACTTGCTTTGGCAATGTTAACATATGTTTCCCATCCCAATAAAGCCCTTTGAATTGAATTGAATTGAGAAAGAGAGAGAGAGAGAGAGAGAGACAGGGGAGAAAAGGAGTTGTGAGCCTTTAGTTTGTCATTCCATTCGATTTATATCATTCAACTTCATATTGGAGACTGGTGGTCTCTGAAGGTCCCTTACCTGAGCCGTCTCCTGCCCCTGCCTCGTCGGGCCCCCCGCGGAAGGAGGTGGACCTCTGCAGGGCCCCCTTGGCCTGGTGCTTGAAGATGGAAGAGGAGAGCTCCTCCAGGGTGCAGCCCAGCAAGTAGGCTGCCTTCTGGGCCCACTCATGACGGGCAAACTGCTTACGGCCAGCTGGGGACCAAGGACAGGATACACAAGTCAGAACCCCTAACCACAGGCTATTAGAATTAACTCAATGATCTCTTCCATACTGTAGCTCAATGATAAACACATTGCTTTTGTGGCTAAGTTGGTTGGAGCATAGTGTTTTTCTATCACAATAAAGCTACATTAATAAACACTAACAAACAACTCCATCTTTTGAGCTTCGAGGCCTCCTCTATCAAGACTGGTAGACTGGAATAACCACCTTGGCTCAAAGAGAAGGATTGAACTGAACAACCCTGAGGCTGCTAAGCACTGTTAGCTGGTTTTACAACAACTCTCCGTTGCCCCATGTTACTGGCTCCGTGTGGCGGATCACCCCCGCTATTTTCTGGAGAGCATTTCAAAGCCACAGAGACACAGCGACTCAGGCAATATGGTCGCCTCTAACCTCTCATCAAACAACACTCTGCCACAGAGTCCAAGAAAAACATTCTAGACTAGAGAGACAGTTAGAACATAGAGAATCAAAACAATGTTCTGACACAAACAACTAGAAAGTTCCCCTGTGGGTTGGGGGGGGGGGGGGGGGGGGGGGGGGGGGGGGGGGGGCAAACCAAACAGTTTCAAATGAACAAGCTTTGCTTTTGGTTTGGGTCTGAATAACAATAACAGTGCTGTGGAATTGGAAGTAGGCGACATGGAGAGACATCAGACAGAGAGCTTTAAAGGACAACAAGTTCTGATTCATGAGGCAAAGGAAGAGAGAGAGAGGGAGAGGGAGGGAGAGCGAGAGAGAGATAGAGGAAAGAAAACAATAAAAATGCTAATGACAGAACGTCTGGGTAGAATGATAAAGGCATTAAGAAAGACGACATATCAACAAGAATAAGTTAGAAAAAAGAAAGAAAGAAGAGATTGGTTTTAATGTTGTTGTTTTTTCATTACCTTCGTCAGCCTCTGCATGTAAAGGGCGCAGCATGCAAATATGCAAGTAGAGAGAGGGGGTTAGAAACACAGTTCATGTATTAACAATTGACATTTATCACTGGAGAACAGACATGTTATCATTCACTGAGTGTGAAAAACAATAAGAACACCTGCTCTTTCTATGACATAGACTGATCAGATGAATCCAGGTGAAAGCTATGATCCCTTACTGATGTCACAAGTTAAATCCACTTCAATCAGTGTAGATGAAGGGGAGGAGCCAGGTTAAAGAAGGATTTTTAAGGCTTGAGACAATTGAGACATGGATTGTGTATGTGTGCCATTCAGAGGGTGAATGGGCAAGACAAAATATTTAAGTGCCTTTGAACGGGGTATGGTAGCAGGTGCCAGGCGCACTGGTTTGTGTCAAGAACTGCAACGCAGCTGGGTTTATCACGCTCAACCGTTTCCCGTGTGTATCAAGAATGGTCCACCACCCAAAGGACATCCAGCCAACTTGACACAACTGTTGGAAGCATTGGAGTCAACATGGGCCAGCATCCCTGTGGAACACTTTCGACACCTTGTAGAGTCCATGCCCCGACGAATTGAGGCTGTTCTGAGGGCAAAAGGGGGAATGCAACTCAATATTAGGAAAGTGTCCCTAATGATTTGTACACTCAGTGTATATAATAGAACTAACACCATCAATGCTCTGGTGCAGGCAGGAGAACCATGTGAGTGAAGATACCGTGGGCATGCTAAGAGGAGGAGAAACCTGCTCTGGTCCTGGAGAGCTACAGTTTTTTCCAGCCCAGCTCAAACACACATGCATCTACTAATCATGATCTTCAAATTAGACCGTGACTTGTTTTCTCAGGTGTTGGTCTCGAACAAAAGCCTGCAGTCCCCAAACACTGGCGTTGGCCAAGGAACACAGGGAGGTTGGTTAAAATCACCTCTGTAGAGAGGTAGGAAAAACATCCTTTCTTCCAAACCCTTCACCCTTTTAACAGGTATGGAAAAGAGGACATTATAGCGTGAAGTAAAGTGTTAAATAGATGGATGGAGGCTAATCCTTTAGTTCCCACAGCATTGATCAGACAACAGCATCATGGCATGGAGAGAAGCATGTACACACTGCCCTCTGCTGGTAGGACCAACCCCTGCTGTGGAACCAATCAGCTGATGAGCGCAAGTACTAGTAGTAGTAGTAACGTAGTAGTAGTAACAGCAGTAGTGGCAGTAGTAGTAACATAGTAGTAGTAACAGTAGTAGCACTAGTAGTAGTAGTAGCTTAGTAGTAGTAGTAGTAGTAGTAGTAGTACGCTAGTTAGTAGTAGTATTAGTAGTAGCAGTAGTAGTAATAGAGTATAGTAGATTAAGTAGGGGCAGTAGTAGCAGATAGGTATAGTCTAGAAGTAATCTGAGTAGTAGAAGAGTAGATAGATAGAAGATAGCGGAGTACGAATAGAGACAGGAAGGAGAGGGTGTGGAGAGAGAGAGATAGACAGAGAGAGAGAGATAGTAGAGAGAGAGAGATAGCAGAGAGAGAGAGAGAGAGAGGAGAGGAGGATGAGCGAGGAGGAGAGAGAGAGAGAGTACACAAACAGTGTGCAGTTAAAATTGGCAAAACACACTCACATTTCTTTCCACAGGGCCATGGGATAAGTCAAATGTCTACTGTTTGCTGATGATCTAAACCTCAGTAAGACAAAAATAATGGTGTTCCAAAAAAGGTCCAGTTGCCAGGACCACAAATACAAATTCCATCTAGACACAAAAAACTAAACTTACCTCGGCCTAAACATCAACACCACAGGTAACTTCCACAAAGCTGTGAACGATCTGAGAGACAAGGCAAGAAGGGCCTTCTATGCCATTAAAAGGAACATAAAATTCGACATACCAATTAGGATCTGGCTAAACATACTTGAATCAGTTATAGAACCCATTGCCCTTTATGGTTGTGAGGTCTGGGGTCCGCTCACCAACCAAGAATTCACTAAATGGGACAAATACCAAATTGAGACTGCATGCAGAATTCTGCAAAAACATCCTCCGTGTACAACCTAAAACACCAAATAATGCATGCAGAGCAGAATTAGGCCTGATACCCGCTAATTATCAAAATCCAGAAAAGAGCTGTTAAATTCTACAACCACTTAAAAGGAAGCGATTCCCAAAACCTTCCATAACAAACCTTCCAACACCTACAGAGAGATGAACCTAGAGAAGAGTCCCCATAAGTAAGCTGGTCCTGGGGCTCTGTTCACAAACACAAACAGACCCCAGAGAGCCCCAGGACAGCAACAGCAACACAATTAGACCCAACCAAATCATGAGAAAACAAAAAGATAATTACTTGGAAAGAATTTACTGAAAAAACAGAGCAAACTGTAATGCTATTTGGCCCTAAACAGAGAGTACACAGTGGCAGAATACCTGACCACTGTGACTGACTCAAAATTAAGGAAAGCTTGGACATCCTCTGAAACTTTTGTGGGTGTAATGTTAACTGTTCATTTTTAATTTCACTTTTGTTTATTATTTATTTGACTTGCTTTGGCAATGTAAACATACTGTATTCTTCCCATGCCAATACAGGCCTTTGAATTGAAAGTAAGAGTGAGAGTGAGAGTAAGAGAGAGAGAGAGGGGGCGAGCGCGGGGGAGAGAGAAAATAAAAGAGTAAGAGAGTTTGAGAGAACAGACAGTAAGGACATGACAGAATGTGTGAGTGAGTGCAAGCTGGCAACAGTTGTTGACATGAGACTGGTCTACCCCCAGCCCACCCCCCACCCGCTTCATGATTCCACCCAACTCAAAACCCTGCTGCAGCCCTGTGAATATGAAAGACAAACAGCACACACGCAAACAGAGAACACAGTCCATGGAGAAGGGGGCAATCTGGAGCCTAATGATTCTAAAAAGTTCATTACCACATTTGTCTAGGTCTGTGACTGCGTGGGAGGCAATATCAGAGAGCATGAATAAACATTATCTAGACTAGCAGCACAGAGACACAGCTATTATATCTGTCTTTATTAACATAAGAGAAATGTCTGCACACATTCAACACTCCAACAGTTTTATAAATTAAACAACTTCAAATAACTTTTCCTACCCTCCTTTGTGCGCAGCGAGAGAACAAAGTTAGCGCTTCTCTCTCGGAGGCCTAATGAATGGCTCGGCGTGTGCGCCTGTTCATTTCTTTCAACTCATTATTTAATTGCAACTCATGGATGAGAAGCAAACGTAATTTACGATGCCATCGCGCTTCATTTGAGTATGTATTCCTTATCGCACACACACACACACACAAAACACAAGGGGGGAAGTAATTTTGATCACGGCACTTCTGTGTGTCCTTTCAATGCAATGCATGAATGGCCTTACAGCAAAGACTCATAGCCTATACACACACATACAGTATACACATACATACATACATACAGTACATACATGCATAGTTATGTTATTTTTTTATGTATCACTGAAAACTTTATAAGAGATCCCTGGTGGGAGCAACAAACAGTGAGCGGACAAGATCAAGCTGCCTCTCCCTCTTCTTCTGCCACCTCCTTTTCCAAACTCTTAAAGGGATACTTCGGTATTTTGGCAATGAGAACTTCTCCAGAGTCAGATGAACTTGTGGATAAAAATTTTATGTCTCTGTGTCCAGTATGAAGGAAGTTAGAGGTAGTTTTTCGAGTCAATGCTAACTAGCGTTAGTGCAATGCCTGGAAGTCTATTGGTATCTGCTACCCCATTGACTTCCAGTCATTGCGCTAAAGCTAGTTAGCAATTAGCGACTTCCTTCAAACCGCACGCTGAGACATAAAAATGGTACCCATGAGTTCATCTGACTCTGGGGAAGTTGATAAAGGGCCTCATTGCCAAAATCCCGAAGTATCCCTTTAACATCCACTCTACCCCATGTCTTCCTCTCTGGCTGGCATGTTGGAACTGCACTTCATCTTCCCCTACTAACTAACACACACTTACTGCATCCTAACATGGCTGCTGAGTTCTCAGTCAACTAGTTCAACAGTGAGTAGTGTAGTGGTCCAGTAGATATCCCACAGTGAGTAGGACAGGGCTACGGGTCCTTACCTTTGGTGGCCCCTGCGGCCCCCAGGTGGTAGATGGCCCCCAGGATGAGCCACAGAGCCCTCTGCTCCTCCACTGAGATGCCCAGCACCTTCATGGCTGCCTGCAGCTTGGTGAACTGCTGAGATGACTTCTGTTTGTCCTCCGGCTACAGAGAGGGAGGAAGGGAGGTGGAAGAATGAAGATGAAGGGCACAGTTCACCAGTTTTCCAGTTGTCCTACACACATACAATTCAGAAAAGGACATATAATACACATTATAATAAGAGCAAAATAACAGCATTTTACTTTAGACTGAGGCACAATTCCGAAGGCGCTGTTCTCTGCAAAGTGGTTAAAGTGCAGCTCCGTTCTGAGAGGAAACAGGGGAAATGAACAGGTTCAAATAGCTAGTTTACACCACAAGGTTAACATGAGAACAAGATTATATACACAAGACCAAGCTTCTGCAATCTACTGCAACCACCCACTTCAATTCAATCCCAATTGAGAGGTGGTAGAGGGCTCACCTGAGTGTGGTGTCAGCTCCGGCCATCATGTAGTAGAAGACGTTGAAGGTGGACTCAGTCTCCGGCCGTTTGGTCACTCTCAGCTTCTCAAGCAGCATGGTCTGAGGTACAGGAAGAGGACAACAAGATGTCAATATGTGTGTGTGTGTGTGCGTGCGTCAGTGTCCATGCCCGATACTGCCTACCTGTATGGATGCGGAGGCCACCTGGCCAGCCTGGTCGAAGTCCAGAGAGACAATCTGAGAGAAGCGGCTGGCATTGGTGTTCATGGAGGTGGAGCTGTTTCCAAATGCCTCCAGGATGGTGTATACTGCCTGCCACTTCTCCCCTGCAGGCACCGAGGGAGGGAGGGGGACAGAGGGAGGGAGGGAGGGGGACAGGGGGAGGGAGGGAGGGAGGGAGACAGGGGGAGGGAGGGAGGGGGACAGGGGGAGGGGAGGGAGGGAGACAGAGGGAGGGGGACAGAGGGAGGGAGGGAGGGGGACAGAGGGAGGGGGACAGAGGGAGGGAGGGAAGGAGGGGGAGACAGAGGGAGGGAGGGAGGGAGGGAAGGAGAGGGACAGAGGGAGGGAGGGGGACAGGGGGAGGGAGGGAGGGAGGGAGGGACAGAGGGAGGGAGGGGGACAGAGGGAGGAGGGACAGAGGGAGGGGAGGGGAGGGGGGACAAAGGGAGGGAGGGAAGGAGGGAAGGAAGGAGAGGGGACAGAGGGAGGGAGGGGACAGAGGGAGGGAGGGGGGAAGGCAGGGGGACAGAGGGAGGGAGGAGGGAAGGAGAGGGACCAGAGGGAGGGGAGGGAGGGAAGGAGAGGGACAGAGGGAGGGAGGGGGACAGAGGGACAGAGGGAGGGAGGGGGGACAGAGGGAAGAGAGGGAGGGAAGGAGAGGGACAGAGGGAGGGAGGGAGGGAATGAGAGGGACAGAGGGAGGGAAGGAGAGGACAGAGGGAGGGAGGGGGACAGAGGGAGGAAGGAGAGGACAGAGGGAGGGAGGGGGACAGAGGGAGGGAGGGGAAAGGAAGGAGGAGGGAGAGGACAGGGAGGGAGGGGGACAGAGGGAGGGAGGGAAGGAAGGAAGGAGGGAGAGGGACAGGGGGAGGCAGGGAGGGAGGGAAGGATAGGGACAGAGGGAGGGAGGGAAGGAAGGAAAGGGACAGAGGGAGGGAGGGAGGAAGGAAGGAGAGGGACAGAGGGAGGGAGGGAGGAAGGAAGGAGAGGGACAGAGGAGGGAGGGAGGAAGGGGGAGAGGCAGGGGGACAGAGGGAGGGAGGGAAGGAAGGAGAGGGACAGAGGGAGGGAGGGAGGAAGGAAGGAGAGGGACAGAGGAGGGAGGGAGGAAGGGGGACAAGGCAGGGGGACAGAGGACAGTTAGAGGACACCTTTATTTATTCCAAATATCATGTCAGTGTTTTTGATTTCACATTCAATACTGTTCTATTTGTGAGGGGATTAGACTACCATGTTGTGAGTATCTTTGATAATCATGTTATGACATTTCAGTTAGGCTTCGTCAATGCTTCCCTTAGTGGAGCTCCTTTCCCTCCTTCGAGATCAGGATCAGCAGGAACGCCTCATTACACAGAGAGTAGGGCTACCAGTCAGACTCTCCCTAATTGCTCCTGTACGTCGCTCTGGATAAGAGCGTCTGCTAAATGACTAAAATGTAACTGTAAATGTAGGTTTGTGAAACTTATATAGCCTACTGCACCTCCTATAGCAGCTCCCCTGTTTACAGTCTAGTCGTGGCTGGGTTCTGGAGCTCTCATTAGCCATTACAGCTAACCAGGAGAAGCTGAGGAATTTTGATAAGCTTTGCTAATTATCCCCCAGCTCCACAGGGCATCATTAGAGGTTCCTCTCATCCATCACACACACACACACACACACATACACGAATGCACACACACACACACAGGCGCACGTTTTCACACACACACACAAATACTGGAATACTGAGTCAGCCACAACCGATCTTCGAACCAAAAAGTTTCGAAGCCAGCTTCCATCAAGCTGCCCCTCGCTCCTCCTCCTCTCCCAAATTCTCATTAACACCCCTACACTCTCCCCCATGTCTACCTCTCTGGCTGGCATGTTGGAACTGCACTTTATATTACCCTACTAACGAACACATCTACTGACCTGCTTTCTGCTGAGTTCTCAGTCAATTAGTTGACACTGATCTAATCAGTAACAACTCAGTGAATGTCCTCCTGTGTACAAACATATGCACAATCTGTGTGGAGCCATTAGATTATTTACTTAATTAGCTATTAGGCTATTAAGACTAATTACCTACATAGTGAATTTAAGGCACCACGGTTATTATTAACACTGAAGAAATTTAGCCACCATCTCGGACCAAATTAATTCCAAGGTGATTATAACAGTCCTTCAACATTCTTTACATTTCATTTATACATTTCCCTCAGTCATTTAATAGACAAAAAACCCTGAATACTAGCTTTACTGCTTGCTGGGTGGTAATGAGACATTTTGGTAGAGTCCAGGACCAGGCCAAAAAGAGAGCGGTTAACTGAGGACTCTCTCACCAGAGAAGATCTTTCCGGTGCTGCCAGCAATGGAGACCAGGTACTGGACCAGGTGTTGACAGTTGGTGGTCTTGCCGCTGCCGCTCTTCCCCAGCAGCACGATGGACTGGTCCTGACGCGTGGTCAACAGGTTCCTGTAGGCCGACTGGGCCACCGCGTAGATGTGAGGTGCTGTGTCCTCTCGCCTGCACCCCTTAAACATGTGCATCACCTGATGGGACCAAGGAGAGGGAGGGGAGGGAGGGAGGCAGAGGGTTTGGGGGAGAGAGAGGTACACAACATTTTAATTGTAGTTCACCTCATGTCCTCCCAGTGACTCCTGTACGGTCCTCTGTGGGGCTCTGTGTGTGTGTGCGCGCGCGTCCTTAAATCGCCACATCCCAGCTAAGCACCCTGTCTGTAAGGTCTAATGGGTAGTCGTTCCGTTATGAGTGATGAGACTTAAGTAGATATTACAGCCTACAGGCCTCCTCAATACTGTAACCTCTAAATCTCATTAGGATAATTGGATTTCATTGTCATGTTGTGGACCACTGAAGACTTCCCTCTCTATCCTCCTAGTTATCTCTCCTGTTTTAATTAATCCATACTCCTCTCCTTAACAGGAAATACTATGACATAATAGCTAGGACATACTAGCATTAAGTAGACCCCAATGCGTACATCAAAAAGCATGCATGATACCATTCTAAACTGAGAATAAACCAGAATCATGTCAGTGGAGTGGTACAGATATGTTCTCATGAAATGTGCATCTGTGTGTCTCTGTGTGTGTGAAGACATGCATCTGCTGTGTGTGTCCTCTCTCCTCACCTTCTCTGAATACATGGAGGGTGCGCTGAGGGGGTTGATGATGACCATGTTGGGCCCGGCCTGTGTGTGGATGAGGTTTCCCCCGTAGCGCTGGCGCAGGGAGTGCATTACACTGGACTCATTGAGGTACTGCAGCGAGGCCAGGTCCTCAGAGCGGTCAAACGACGGGGGGTTTGCCTGGGACAGGAGCAAAGGTCAAAGGTGAACGATTAATGACTGATGAGTATTGTAATTCTAGAGCTTTATTGAAAGGTACACAGCAATATGAAAACATCATACACACTGGGACTCTGGTTGTCTGAAGTGGGACTGCTTACAGAAATGACCAACAACAACAGAATTCAAATCTACCAAGACCTTGCCTTTTGATAAGACAGGTTGAAGTTTCTCCAGGTTGCCTACACCTATTTTGTATTGTCAGATTGATCTAAACAAAGAGCCCTCTGTAGGGGTAGAGGCTAGGGGTCCATTTGAGACTGGCAATCTGACTGGTAATGTCTTGAGTTTCACTGAGGAGTAGAGGAGCAGTTTTAAGAGAAGTCAAGCACGGATTTAGTATGCCACACCGTGACTTGCCACCAGCCACCAGGAACCTGATGCCAAGTCTTTGATGCAATTAAAACAGATGTCTCCCTCCAACCTCAGACGGGTCCAAGTTTGCACTTCCTTAATCAAACAGATGGTTCAAACGTTTGATTAGATGACGACCTTGACGCTGTTGAAAACACTTACTGTCCAAAGTCACCCTTATTATCAGTTCACCCTAACAGAGTTAAATGACTGTCCATAAAACCAGGAGGGAATTTCAACTTTTTCTCCACCTTGAAAGCAGAGCAGACATCCTCTAGTCAAGGTCTTGGAGACAGCATGTTGTAGATGATGGGAGGTTTTTCTGCTTTGTGCCAGAACAGTTTTTAAAGCGTCCTGTCACAGATCTCTCTGTGATTCGGGCCTGGTGCCATGTCTGTGCGAGTCACCTGATCGAGGCCTGCCAAACTCACACCTGTTCCCCTCTAACCTGTCCCCTCTACACAGACGTCCCACAATCCCCTGGGCCAGGGACAGTCTGCGTCCTGGCTGACCATCTGTGTCTGCTTCTGGCTAAGACGGGCTGACTGACGGGTGCCAAGACCCCCTCCCTCTTTCTTGGAAATTTCCCCTACATGCCGCCCCCCCCTCCCCCCCTCCCCTCCCACCAGGTCGATCTCTGCTTCATGGCCCTCCTAACGGACAAGCCTATACCCTAGCCCTGATGGCAACCCTAAGATAGTCTATGCAATCAAGCAAAGTCAATGTCTTCTCCTTTGACCCTCTTAAGGAACTAGAGTTTAGCCCCAATAACAAAACTAAGATGGAGTCTGTAAAATCAAGTAAAAATACATTGAAGGTGTAGTCCCCTCCCCCACCTTCTCCACGTCATCCTCATCTACGTCCAGCACTGTCCCGTCGTGTTCCAGTTTGATCTTCACTTTCCCCTCCGGCAGAGAGCCCGCCTCCGTCTTCAGCAGCGTTGCTATGGACACAGACACACACAAATAACTTATTGTGATATACAGTGCATTCGGAAAGTATACAGACCCCTGTATAAAAAAACAAAAACAGAAATACCTTATTTAAATAAGTATTCAGACCCTTTGCTATGAGATTCGAAATTGAGCTCAGGTGCATCCTGTTTTCATCGATCATTCTTGAGATGTTTCTATGATGGGAGAACCTTCCAGAAGGACAACCCTCTGCAGCACTCCACCAATCGGGCCTTTACGGTAGAGTGGCCAGACGGAAGCCCCTCCTCAATAAAAGGCACATGACAGCCCACTTGGAGTTTGCCAAAAGGCACCGAAGGACTCTCAGACTATGAGAAACAAGATTCTCTGGTCTGATGAAACCAAGATTGAACTCTTTGGCCTGAATGCCAAGCGTCACATCTGGAGGAAACCAGGCACTGCTCATCACCTTGCCAATACAATCCCTACTGTGAAGCATAGTGGTGGCAGCATCATGCTGTGGGGATGATTTTCAGCAGCAGGGACTGGAAAAATAGTCTGGATCGAGGGAAAGATGAATGGAGCAAAGTACAGAGAGATCCTTGATGAAAACCTGCTCCAGAGCACTCAGGACCTCAGACTGGGGCGAAGGTTCATCTTCCAACAGGACAACGACCCTAAGCACACAGCCATGACAATGCAGGAGTGGCTTCGAGACAAGTCTCTGAATGTCCTTGAGAGGCCCAGCCAGAGCTCGGACTTGAATCCCGATCAAACATCTCTGGCGAGACCTCAAAATAGCTAGGGGTCTGAATACTTTCTGAATGCACTGTAACTTATTGGGTGGAGTGGGCACAGACACGGTTCCAGGAAAAAACAATAGCCCATAGTTTAAAAGCAAGGGTAAAAATTAGCAGGGCCAAAGCTCTGCACCCCTCCTGGTCTAAGATGTAAGACAGGAACTTACCCAGGGAGAAGCCATCCTTGTGGACCAGCCAGACCTTCTCTGAGCCGTACCATGCCTGCTCTGCGGCTATCTGCTCCTCTGTCTTCACCTGGAAGAGATGGGGAGAAGACAACAGTCACACACACAGCAGAACAATGACCTTAGGCCAGGTCACCTTATACTGGGCCTTTCTGTGGCTGCAGTAGCTACCACTCAGCAGTTTTCAACCACAGAGAGGCTTTAGACTAGAGAGGACATGTGCTCCCTGCAAACACACCTGTTCATATCAATAACATTCACTCACGTGTGTTTAAAGTAGCTGGTTATCAGGCCAGTGTTTAAAGCTTATAGCATGTTACACAATTATGTACAGTAGCATTGGAGATAATGGGCTGACAGTGGGCATGCAGTGGACTTGCTAATAGTGCATCTTGTGATAAAAGCTGTATAGGCTTCAGTGTAGCAGGCAGAGACAAAAAGCAGTTAGGATTTGAAGGAGTCCCAGATCACAAATCAGAGAGAGACATTTCTCCCAACGCAGCTCAGAGTGTCGCCTAGAAATGCCTGACCGCTCCGTGTTACCACGCTTGACCTTCCCAAAGCCTCTAACATAAGCCTTCAGGCTGTCTGTGTGTGTGTGTGTGTGTGTGTGTGTGAGAGAGAAAGAGAGAGAGAGCAGGAGGCAGTTAAATCTGACAGAGAACATGAAGTATCAGTGAACTGAATCTGGACAAAGACACTGTTGGATGCACATCAATGTCACACAGCATGGTGGGTGAGCGGAGGGAGGAGTATGAGGGGAATGGATACACTATCCACACACGCACAACACCACAACACAACACACCCAATGCTAGGGATGGACAGTATCCCCAGGGACGACAACAAGACAATATAAAGTAAAGAACACAGGGATAAAAAAAAACATTTGAAATTCACATTGTGTGAAATTTAGGCCTATACATTGAGGGAAAAAAGTATTTGATCCCCTGCTGATTTTGTACGTTTGCCCACTGACAAAGAAATGAGCAGTCTAGAATTTGAATGGTAGGTTTATTTGAACAGTGAGAGACAGAATAACAACAAAAAAATCCAGAAAAATGCATGTAAAAAATGTTATAAATTGATTTGCATTTTAATGAGGGAAATAAGTATTTGACCCCTCTGCAAAACATGACTTTGTGATTGCCAACAAGGGTTTTGTCACCAAGTACTGAGGTCAGACGTTTCTTGTAGTTGGCCACCAGGTTTGCACACATCTCAGGAGGGATTTTGTCCCACTCCTCTTTGCAGATCTTCTCCAAGTCATTAAGGTTTCGAGCCTGACGTTTGGCAACTCGAACCTTCAGCTCCCTCCACAGATTTTCTATGGGATTAAGGTCTGGAGACTGGCCAGGCCACTCCAGGACCTTAATGTGCTTCTTCTTGAGCCACTCCTTTGTTGCCTTGGCCGTGTGTTTTGGGTCATTGTCATGCTGGAATACCCATCCACGACCCATTTTCTATGCCCTGGCTGAGGGAAGGGGGTTCTCACCCAAGATTTGACGGTACATGGCCCCGTCCATCGTCCCTTTGATGCGGTGAAGTTGTCCTGTCCCCTTAGCAGAAAAACACCCCCAAAGCATAATGTTTCCACCTCCATGTTTGACGGTGGGGATGGTGTTCTTGGGATCATAGGCAGCATTCCTCCTCCTCCAAACACGGCGAGTTGAGTTGTTGCCAAAGAGCTCGATTTTGGTCTCATCTGACCACAACACTTTCACCCAGTTCTCCTCTGAATCATTCAGATGTTCACTGGCAAACTTCAGACGGGCATGTATATGTGCTTTCTTGAGCAGGGGGACCTTGCGGGCGCTGCAGGATTTCAGTCCTTCACGGCGTAGTGTGTTACCAATTGTTTTCTTGGTGACTATGGTCCCAGCTGCCTTGAGATCATTGACAAGATCCTCCCGTGTAGTTCTGGGCTGATTCCTCACCATTCTCATGATCATTGCAACTCCACGAGGTGAGATCTTGCATGGAGCCCCAGGCTGAGGGAGATTGACAGTTATTTTGTGTTTCTTCCATTTGCGAATAATCGCACCAACTGTTGTCACCTTCTAGCCCATTCCAGCCTTGTGTAGGTCTACAATCTTGTCCCTGACATCCTTGGAGAGCTCTTTGGTCTTGGCCATGGTGGAGAGTTTGGAATCTGATTGATTGCTTCTGTGGACAGGTGTCTTTTATACAGGTAACAAGCTGAGATTAGGTGCACTCCCTTTAAGAGTGTGCTCCTAATCTCGGCTCTTTACCTGTATAAAAGACACCTGGGAGCCAGAAATCTTTCTGATTGAGAGGGGGTCAAATACTTATTTCCCTCATAAAAATGCAAATCAATTTATAACATTTTTGACATGCGTTTTTATGGGTTTTTTGGTTGTTATTCTGTCTCTCACTGTTCAAATAAACCTACCATTCAAATTATAGACTGCTCATTTCTTTGTCAGTGGGCAAACGTACAAAATCAGCAGGGGATCAAATACTTTTTTCCCTCACTGTATACTGCATCTTATTTCTAATCATGCATAATCAGCCACAATCAGATGATGTTTTTTGCAGCGTCTGTCTCATTGTCTCCTAACTGGAAAACTGCCGTCATGCAAAGACATCTACATGACAAAATGTGATGGTATGATTGATCCTGTGGAATCCAGACAACCACAAATCTTAAGTGCCGTCGAACAAGTTTCATTTTGAGTGTTGATTTACCCCTGAAAATGTTCTAATTAGGTGAAAGATGGCCAAAGGAGTGCGGGTGGCTTGGCTGTGCCTGAATACTACGCAGATGTGTTTGGTGGGGGGGAATGGTGGGGGACGACACTGCAACGGAACACAACACACAGAGTACACAGCACTCCAGGGGTCGGTGGTGGGAGTGGTGCACGTGAGAGGTTGAGGGGGTGAATTACACACAGGCACAGCAAAGGCCAGACCTTGGGTTGTTGGGCAGCGGCGTGAGACGCCTGAAGGATGGCCACGGGGTCCTCGTCCACCTGTCCCTGGAGGACAGCAGGCGTGAGGGGAGGAGAAGGGATCAAAGTTCATAGTTAGAGTGGTGCTATAGTGGAAAGATGGGTATTTGTATTTGTATTTATTATGGATCCCCATTAGCTGCTGCCAAGGCAGCAGCTACTCTTCCTGGTGTCTGGAAAATGTAAAGCAGTTATACAATTTTAAAAACATTACAATACATTCATAACAGATTTCACAACACACTAAGTGTGTGAACTCAGGCCCCTACTCCACTACCACATGTCTACAACACAACATCCATGTGTACGTGTGTGTATAGTGCTTATGTTATCATGTGTGTGTATGGATGTGTCTGCACCCATGTTTGTGTTGCTTCACAGTCCCTGCTGTTCCATATTTTTAAATCTGATTCTACTGTTTGCATCAGTTACCTGATGTGGAATAGAGTTCCATGTAGTCATGGCTCTATGTAGTACTGTGCGCCTCCCATAGTCTATTCTGGACTTGGGGACTGTGAAGAGACCTCTGGTGGCATGTCTTGTGGGGTATGCATGGGTGTCTGAGCTGTGTACTAGTCATTTTAACAGACTATACCTACATGTCTATACCTCTCACAAATACAAGTAGTGATGAAGTCAACCTCTCCTCCACTTTGAGCCAGGAGAGATTGACATGCATATTATTAATGTTAGCTCTCTGTGTACATCCAAGGGCCAGCCGTGCTGCTCTGTTCTGAGCCAACTGCAATTTTCCTATGTCCCTCTTTGTGGCACCTGACCACCTGACTGAACAGTAGTCCAGGTGCAACAAAACTAGAGCCTGTAGGACCTGCCTTGTTGATAGTGCTGTTAAGAATGCAGAGCAGCGCTTTATTATAGACAGACTTCTCCCCATCCTAGCTACTGTTGTATCAATATGTTTTGACCATCACAATTTACAATCCAGGGTTACTCCAAGCAGTTTAGTCACCTCAACTTGCTCAATGTCCACATTATTCATTACGAGATGTAGTTGAGGTTTAGGGTTTAGTGAATGATTTGTCCCAAATACAATGATTTTAGTTTTGGAAATATTTAACACTAACATATTCCTTGCTACCCATTCCGAAACTAACTGCAGCTCTTTGTTAAGTGTTGCAGTCATTTCAGTTGCTGTAGTAGCTGACGTGTATAGTGTGGAGTCATCCGCAAACATACACACACTGGCTTTACTCAAAGCCAGTGGCATGTCGTTAGTAAAGATTGAAAAAAGTAAGGGGCCTAAACCGCTGCCCTGGAGAATTCCTGATTCTACCTGGATTATGTTTGAGAGGCTTCCATTAAAGAACACCCTCTGTGTTCTATTAGACAAGTAACTCTTTATCCACATTATAGCAGGGGGTGTAAAGCCATAACACATGTTTTTCCAGCAGCAGACTATGATCGATAATGTCAAAAGCTGCACTGAAGTCTAACAAGACAGCCCCCACAATCATTTTATCATCAATTTCTCTCAGCCAATCATCAGTCATTTGTGTAAGTGCTTTGCTTGTTGAGTGTCCTTCCCTATAAGCGTGCTGAAAGTCTGTTGTCAATTAGTTTACTGTGAAATAGCATTGCATCTGGTCAAACACAATTTTTTCCAGAAGTTTACTAAGGGTTGGTAACAGGCTGATTGGTCAGCTATTTGAGCCAGTAAAGGGGGCTTTAATATTCTTGGGTAGCGGAATGACTTTAGCTTCCCTCCAGGCCTGAGGGCACACACTTTCTAGTAAGCTTAAATTGAAGATGTGTCAAATAGGAGTGGCAATATCGTCCGCTATTATCCTCAGTAATTTTCCATCCAGATTGTCTGACCCCAGTGGCTTGTCATTGTTGATAGACAACAATAATTTTTTCACCTCTTCCACACTGACTTTACGGAATTCAAAAGTACAATTCTTGTCTTTCATAATTTGGTCAGATATACCTGGATGTCAGCGTTTGTTGCTGGCATGTCATACCTACGTTTGTTTATCTTGCCAATGAAAAAGTAATTAAAGTAGTTGGCAATATCAGTGGGTTTTGTGATGAATTAACTATCTGATTCAATGGGGAGGAAAAACTGGGGGATGGCAAAGAACGAGGAGAGGTCAGAGATGAGGAGAGGTCAGAGATGAGGAGAGGTCAGAGATGAGGAGAGGTCATAAAGGGGAGACAGAGAGAACACCTGACAGTCATTAATCACACACACGATAAACCCCCACCCACTGCCATTCACTCTCATTGCGACTGGACATCACACAGGGCAAACAAACATGCCGCACATCTTAATCAGGGCACCATTCCACTGCCATGCTATTGACAAAACAAAAACTGCACATTGAAGTCCTTTGTCTGGGTTGGTTTGTCAGTTTCCATACAGGTCAAGGTCTGTTTGATTGCCCTTGAGGCATCTAGATACTATCACAGTTTAATACCAGCTGTGTTCCAAAAACAGGAAGGGCAGGCAAGGATTGAACCAGGTAATATCAGGGACAAATATCAGAGAGTTCGGGGAAAACACCAAGCATCATTACAGATGAACCTTACATAGACAGGTAGGGTGAGAGAGGGGAAAGTTAGGAGAGGAATCTAGGCTTACGCTGGACATGCCACAAGAGCACACACTTCAACCAGGCCGCCAGAGGGGACCCCTGGGGGCCACAGTACCTGAGGGGGGGTTGGGGCTGGAGAAAGGGTCGGGGCTGAGGCACAAACCACCGGCTCCAGCTAGCCATACAACAGCCACAGATAGACGTAGCCAAGCACCAATTAGAAAGAGAGAGAGAGAGAGAGAGAGAGAGAGAGAGAGAGAGAGAGAGAGAGAGAGAGAGAGAGAGAGAGAGAGAGAGAGAGAGAGAGAGAGAGAGAGAGAGAGAGAGAGAGAGAGAGAGAGAGAGAGAGAAACTCAATATAAAACATGAATTGACAAATCCAGTGAATGTTTGACAGGTGACAAAACAAGAATGGAAACAGAAAGCAGCATAGACATAAACAGTAAATTAGTTCAGTCATGCATGGATATGCACACATAACAGACACACTATACACACACGTACACTTGGATTGTGTGTAGTAGTAGACTAGTGGCCTGAGGGAACACACACTTCATGTATTGTCCAATCTGTTGTAAAATGTATTTTAATATTTCAAAATTGCATTATAATGTATATTACTGCCTTCATTTTTGCTGGACCCAAGGAAGAGTAGATGCTGCCTCTTGTAGCTCAGTTGGTAGAGCATGGCGCTTGCAACACCAGGGTTGTGGGTTCGATTCCCACGGGGGGCCAGTATGAAAAATGTATGCACTCACTAACTGTAAGTCGCTCTGGATAAGAGCATCTGCTAAATGACTAAAATGTAAAGCTGCCTTGGCAGCAGCTAATGGGGATACATAATAAAAACAAATACAGTCTGAGACTCCATGAATTAAGTCAATTGTAGTGAAAATGAGGGGGTTGTACAAAACAAAGTAATCAGCGATTGGACCATTTCTAGCTCATCAGTGTATCAAAGCCAATGACGAGTTTTCAAAACGCTGTTTTACCCATGTGCGTTCTGGCTCTGGTTTCTGTGACTAATCAGAACGGTTAGAATGTGTTTGCGTTCTAGAAATCGTCTGGGAGTTACTCAGATCCAGACTAATCGTGGAGAAGAAACTAACGTCCATGGGCATGGCGTAGAGTTTGGCCAGAGCAAGGCGTTTGGGTAGCCAGGCAATGGATATGGCCCAAATTTGTAAATCTGTATTTTTTATTAAATGTGCCAAAAAGGAAAATGACAAATTACTATTAGCAATCAAGATAAAGATATAACATCCAGAGAAGAAAATAAAGAGAGGAGGAGAGATCGAGAGCATGATGGGTTGTTCATGGAAAATAAATAAGCACCTCTAAATTCATTAATGGAATGTTAATCAATGTGTCCTGTTAAAATGAATAAAGGAAAGAAAGTAAAGATTTAAAAAGTGAAAGAGGAGAAGCATGTATCAAGAGGGAGAGAGAGAGAGGAAATAATAGAGAAACTGAGAAAGAAAGAAAGAAAGAAAGAAAGAAAGAAAGAAAGAAAGAAAGAAAGAAAGAAAAGAAACAAGGAGGGAAGGTGGGTCTTTACAGGCGCACTGAAGATCCTCTCCAGGCGTCTCTGAGCCTCTTCAGTGGGACTGAGCGGCGCCTCCTGGAGGTCAGATCACCAACAGGTTGAGCTCTGAAACTACAAGGCTATCAAAGCGCACTATTCTAGAGGACCACATGCAACACTGTTTCATAGACAACAGAACTGTGAGATGTTCGCTAGATGCCGTGCCAATCCTGAACTCACACACACTTGGTTACAAAACCTCACTTACACAGCATACCAACAGTGAACTGTGTGAATGCTGTGGGGCACACCAACACACACACCTTTTGGGTTATGGTTGGGGTAGTCTTTGATGAAACGGTTGATGAATTGTTCTGTGGTGAAGCCTTCTCAATGGGAACAGAGGACAGGGGAGAGGCTGTCACCTTCAAATGGTACACACAGATACATCCACGCCCACAAGCACGCCGTAAGTAATGTACACACACATTCAAGTAGTCCATAAGATAAAGAAATCATACAACCACGCTGAACAAATTCAAAACTAACCATGCTCTAGACGTCCAGAGTCTAGCTAAGCTAGTGAGCAAATCAACAGTTGAGGGATACAAAAGCCCACATGGATGTGAAATCATTCACATCTCAATGCGCAAGGCGAAGCCAAGCAAAACTATAACTAGCTTGGATAACACAACACAAGCAAACTTTAGCCTTAGACAACTATAGCAAACTCAGATAGCCACTGTAGCGGTCAAAGCCAGCTTGTGGTTGGCTAGCAAGTAAACAAAGACCCTGAGAGGCCGGTAATTTCCAAAACTCAAAACACAAAATGTGTAGATAATTCTCTTATCCCAACGCCTGCCACGGTGGCTGCAGCGTGGCATTGAACTCTTCTCCCAGAAAGACAATGTCACTATCGGTAATTAGCTCTGCGGGTCTCCCTGCTCCAGGCTACAGCGACAGAACATTCCACCCCGATACGCTTTTTCCTCCTTTGGAACCCCCCCCCCCCCCGACAGGCTAACCTCAATAAACAAGGCTTCCAAGCTGCAGATGACAGCAGGGTCTCTTGGGTTGAGGCAGTAGGAAAAAAAGAGCTACTGAACTTGTTGTTTTGCTGGAAGCTGTCTCAGCAGCCCTGGCGTCTCAAAGGAGAGAGATGTGAGGAAGGAGAGCTGTGTGAGACAGGCTCCATCCCTCATGAGAAACTCAGAGAGAGATGGAGCTCGAATCAGAGCAGCGAATGCAACAAAAGCTTCAGCCCCACGAGACTGTGCCCTTTAACAAACTGAGAAACAAACTGACTTTGTGCAAATGAGAAAAGTTCTGGAGAAACAAACAAGTTCAATAGGGAGTTGAGCCCATCGTGGCCCCAAAATGGAGCTTCAACTCTGCTAACAAGTGGAGAACTCAACAATTGAAGTTAGTTAAAATAAAACCCCACACACACACACAAAAAACAGAGTTATCATGGAGACGCAAAGAGTGCTTTCTGTGCATTAGCGATTAACATCCGTTTTTTCACACAGTGGTCTCAAAAGTGGTCCATGCAGTGTGGACAGTAGGCCTACCTCAGGCTTCTTCACAGCTGGCAGTTTGGGGGGCTGGATGAACACCGGTGGTGGAGAGAGGGCATTCGCCTTGGGAGTGATGAAGGCGGAAGGAGGGGAGAGAGGCGAGGCTTTGGGAGGAGTAGGGGAGAGAGGCGAGGCCTTGGGGGCTTGGACGAACCCTGCAGGGGGAGTACTGGGGGAGGACTTAGAGGTGGGAATGGATGCTGAAGGGGGAGTGACATGGGAGTATTTAGAAGAGGGGACAAAACCAGCAGGTGGGGAAAGGGGGGTATATTTTGGGGCTGGTATGAACCCGGCAGGTGGGGCAAGGGGGGTAGATTTTGTTGGTGGGATGAAGCATGATGGGGGAATGGCTGGGGAGGATTTTGGTGCTGGTACAAACCTTGCTGGAGGGGCAAGGGGGGTACATTTTGGTGGTGGGATGAAGCATGATGGGGGAATGGCTGGGGAGGATTTGGGGGCTACAGTGGAAACTGAACGACTAACAGCAGTAGATTTTGGGGCTGGTACAAACCCTGCTGGAGGGGAAAGGGGGACTGATTTTGGTGCTGGTACAAACCCATTTAGTGGGCAAAGGGGGGCTGATTTTGGTGCTGGTACAAACCCAGCAGGTGGGGAAAGGGAGGCTGATTTTGGTGGTGGGATGAAACCTGCTGGAAGGGAGAGAGGGGAAGGCTTTGAGGCAGGGATGAAGCCTACGGGTGCAGACTTGGAGGGAACCGAGGTCAAATTAGAAGCAGTAGGAGGAACTTTAGCAGGTGCAGCCGACACGGGATTCTTATCCTCCTGTTTTGAAACTGGGCCGACATTAGGGATAGATTTAATCTCAACCAATTTAGGGCTTTCTTTTTCCTCTCTTTTCACTGCTTCCTCTTGTTTTTTTTCAGGTGGCTCATCCATGCGTGTGCGAGGGCGGTTCCTGGTCCTCCCGCGGACCATGAGGCTGGCCAGCCCTGCTGATATATCGTCCTTCTCCTCCGTCTTGATGGTGTCGTGCTTGAAAGAGAACAGTGGAACCTTTGGGACCTTGGGCACAGATGATGGCGCTTGCAATGGCACCAATTTAGGAGGTTCAGGGGCAGGTTTGGTAGGCTCAGGAGCTGGAGCATCCTCCTCTTCTGCAGGTAGTACCTTCCTCACCACTTGACGCACCACCTTTCCTACCTTCTTGCGGGTAAGGCTATGATCATCGTTGTCCAGGTCTGGCTGTCTGGCACTGCCGTTGGCAGAGCTCCCATTGACGGCACTGCCGTTAACGGATCCATTGGGCTTGCTGTTCCCGTTCAGCACAGGCTCAGGGCTAATCATGGAAGCTCTGCGTGGGTCAGGGCTCCTGAAGTGCTGTGCTGGCATCTGGATTAGAGGCACTGGACTTTTGAAGCGTTCAGGGACCTTTACGGCCCCGCGTACCCTGGGTGGCGAGGGACTCCTGACCCTGACCCCGGGCTGTGTCTTGGCCGGCTCAGGGCTTTTGGTGCGGAGTAGGCCCCTGCCAGGCTCCAGACTGGGCACGGACTGGGAGCGGCTACTCATACTGCCACTGTCGCTGTCTGACTACTCACACAGCAGGGAGGGAGAGAGCAGAGCAGCAAGACAAATGAGGAGAAACCAGAACAGACTTAAAGTAAACTCACGCAGTTCAGCTTAAAGCATATGCAAACTCCACTTTGGTAACTAAACCAAAAACGTAATCTGAGAAGCCCTGGGTTTGTCTGGATCGTCTGATAGTGTATGTATGGTTGACCAAAGAGATCACAGGTCCTGTTTGCTCTCCTGGACAGGCGTGCTGTTATGCTCACCCAACTGCCACATGCCTGCCCAGGTCCTGAAATAGAACAGGGTGGGTTGATATGAGAGGTGGTGGGTGGGGGTTTCAGACTGAGATAGCAGAGGTGTCTATGGGTGCTGACTTGGCCCCCTCTCTGTACTGCAGCACCTTGTTTCTAATGGCAGATCTAATGACACACACATACACAGCACCTTCGCTCAGCTGCAAGCAAATCCTGCTATTTCACTCAAACACACCTGTGCTGAATCCTTCTCCCAGCTGCATATCACACACTAACACACTGTCCTTCCTGGCCTCACTCTCCACGCTACTGAGCACTGTGCCAATGACACACATTCTTATCTCTCCCCTAGTATTTCACGCTTGAATATCCTTGCCGTCCTACAGGCCTTATGATAACCCAACACACTGCACTGCCTTCCACAGACAGAGCCTACCTCCACCTAAGTGGCTAACCGACACTTATGAAGGTCAACAACACTTTAATGCAATAATAACCTGCTTTAGTGTTTAATCTTCCCCTCCTCCTATGCTCCAGTCGCTACAGTGCCTGACATGGCTCCATGGCTCCCATGGGGGGCTTAGCTGTGGTTCCCCCCCCAGACAGGAGGCTGAATGTTGGGGATGCAGCCTTTGGGATGCCAGCAGGCTGGGGATCAAGGCCTCTACTGTTCTTCTGTCTCTCTCCCTGTCTGCACTGCTGCAGATTAAGTGTTAAATAACACTGTGTGAGCTCTCAGACTGGGAGAGGAAAAAGGTCAACTGTGGTTCACCATCTTCGCTTTCCAACCAAGCTGCATTAATAGAGAAAACTGGAAATGTGGATGATATTCATAAACTCTTGAGGGACAATAAAAGTTGACAAGAAACATACTTGTTTATTATCAAAACCAATAGCCTTCATCAGGCTGTCAGAAACACGTTGGTTTTAATAATAAAGTATTGTCTCCCAAGAGTTGCTGAATATCTTTCATATTTGTGCGCGTGTTGAATATTATATCGCCCCGCGACCCTCATAAACTGCCTGTTTGTTCATCTTTAGGCTACGTTGGGATATGGCTGCAATTCCCACAACGAGGCTACAGATTATTCAGGAAAAAAATATATACTATTTACAAAGCAATTACAGACACCTCACACAGCGCGGATCCCCAGGCTTTTGTTGTGAAATTAAAAAGGTGTAACTGTCTGTGACATTACATCCAGAATAGAAAAATAACTACGCTCTTCCACGTTGTGCCTCTTTTCACATCGGCCTGTTAGTAACTGTCTATCGTGGCGAGAAAGAAAGTTTGCTGCTGGCAAACCTCCAAGTAAAAGACCAGTGATGTGACAGGTGCATCTCAATAGTCTGATGTGGCTTCCTCTCCTCAGCTGTAATGATACCATAATGGACTCCAATCCCCAGAAACCTGTGATCCCTTTAGTCATACACTATCAGATTCCTGATTAAGCCTACAGCAGGGCCGTTCAATTCCGGTCATGGAGGGCCGAAACACTTCTGTTTTTTGTTTCTACCTGGTAGTTATTTGCACTCACCTGGTGTCCCAGGTCTGAATCAGTCCCTGATTAGAAAGAGAGGATGAAACGTGTATTGTAGAGCCCTGCTCTAGAACTTCACAACATGAGAATGATACCAGTCAACTTACACCCTGATTTGATGTCTTGGAGCCTGGTGGTCTGACCTCTTCTTTGACCTAAAGGGTTCGGTAAGACAAGGGACTGAGGTCAAAATCTAGGACACTTAGAAGAAGTGGTCACTCGCCAGGGGTACTTGAAGGAAACACTCCCCTCATTGCATAACATGCAAAACACACACCATGCTGCAAACCTGGATGTATGCTATGTGGAAGAGCTATCTATCACTTACCATACCACACACCACATGGTGTCTAGGCTAATATTATTCACAGACACTAAGCTGTAGCAACAAAGGAACATTAATATGGCCCGTTTTTTTGTAAAAGTGACACATGAGAACTACAAGGCCTGCTTAAAAAGGCTTTGGATTTATTTTTACCATTTACCACTATGATGTTTTATTTTGGGTAACGGTTTGGGGAGGCGTCAGTTTACTGTGGAGCTTCAGGATGTGTTGTGATGGTCAAACAAAATGGCAGTCAAACCAAATGAAATCAAAAGCCAGCTTGGCAGTCAGAGCTCCTCTAGAATAAAGTATGTGAAGCAATATCACAGAACTCGTCATTTTGCCAAAGCAAATTCCTCCAGTCAAGGTTTTCGGCGGTGAGTCAAACACTGATATTGGATCATGCCTCCGATGACAACGATTACTTTTAGCACACCGTCAGAAAACCACGGCAGAGGCATGGCTATCAGACCACAAGCTTTCAACGACGTGACACTCTCAAGCCCCAAAATGTGGTCCTCTGTAGCTCAATTGGTAGAGCATGGCGCTTGTAACGCCAGGGTAGTGGGTTCGATCCCCGGGACCACCCATACGTAAAAATTTATGCACACATGACTGTAAGTCGCTTTGGATAAAAGCGTCTGCTAAATGGCATATTATTATTATTATAAAATGGACACTTAGTGGAGGAGTGACACATGCAGGGCACACATTTCTACATGCAGAGACACCAACGTATCCCACCCCATGTCCCCACACCGTGCAGTGCTGCACCAACGGTGCTGTGAGGAAAACTGAACAGGACTTCCCTTTTGCTCCCAGAAGGAAAAGCGTGATGAGAATGCCATGTTGGCTGTGCTGATGTCATGAGCTGTGCCGGATAAGGGGGGAAGAGGGGGGAGGGCAGGAATGGAGAGAAGTGCTGGACAGACGGACGGACAGATGGATGGAAGGGTGGATCTTCACAATAGAGGCCAAAATCACTGGTTCTTCACTCTAGGGGCCGTAACCAGTGGGATAGTGGAAGGACCACGTGTCGCAGGAAGTGAAGTGAACAAGTCTAGAGTACCAAGAAAAGCAAGAGGAGAGGGATAAGATACACAAACATACAGGAACACACTGTACACAGAACCAAGACTCAACCGTTCAGTGATTTGTGGCACACAAAAAGTATCTAGGACCATACGTCAGGACTACCGGGCATGATGACACCCTGCTGCCCCCAGTCCGCCTGGCCTTGCTGCTATTCCAGTTTCAACTGTTCTGCCTGCGGCTACGAAACCCCTACCTGTCCCAGACCTGCTGTTTTCAACTCTAAATGATCGGCTATGAAAAGCCAACTGAGAGACCTGAGCCCTAGGACCATACGTCGGGACTACCGGCCGTGGTGACTCCTTGCTATCCCCAGTCCGCCTGGCCTTGCTGCTATTCCAGTTTAAACTGTTCTGCCTGCGGTTATGGAACCCCTACCTGTCCCAGACCTGCTGTTTTAAACTCTAATGATCGGCTATGAAAAGCCAACTGAGATTTATTCCTGATTATTATTTGACCATGCTTGTCACTTATGAACATTTTTGAACATCTTGGCATGGTTCTGTTATAATCTCCACCCGGCACAGCCAGAAGAGGACTGGCCACCCCTCATAGCCTGGTTCCTCTCTAGGTTTCTTCCTAGGTTTTGCCTTTCTAGGGAGTTTTTCCTAGCCACCGTGCTTCTACACCTGCATTACTAGCTGTTTGGGGTTTTAGGCTGGGTTTCTGTACAGCACTTCGAGATATTAGCTGATGTAAGAAGGGCTATATAAAATAAAATTGATTGATGATTGATTGATTGATCTAGGAAATGTTGATTTCATCACAGTAAAAAACGAACAGAACACCAATACAGCAATACCTACACATAACCTTTGGGATATTTCCCCCCCAGAACAGAGAGCGGGTGAGTCAGTCTGAAGACTGGCTCTGGCTCTCCCACCACAGGCTCTAATGTGTCTATAACATGGGGGTTGCTGAGGTCTGCTGCTTATCTGTGGACACTGGGCAGGTTCAACCAGGCAGGGGCCAGGGAGATAGGACAGGGCTTTTTTTTAGGATGAGCCACATGGGCATAACGAATCAGAGGCCAACATCAGGTTGGATAGCCAGGTTGACTCTCTGGTTCCCTCTGAACACACACATACACACACACACACAAACACAACTGTGCATACATATAAATACTGTTTATACACACACACACACACACACACACACACACACACACAAACATGTAACAAAACACCATCATACACACGCACAGAGAGCCATCTAAACCGGATATAGCATGGTGACTGACACTCTCTGGCAAATGTGACTCAGCCACTGTTTTGGGAGAACACTAGTTGACTTAGCTAATAACAACAGAACAAAGCCATATTGACAATACTGAATCAATGCAGTAAAGAGATAGGCCTATGCCCAGAGATAATGAAAATAAAAGCTGAGGAACAGACTTTAATGTCTATTAGTCACTGTGAAACATGACAACTGCTTTCTGACTGACTCTGACATTAAAAGCAAAGATGTACAGTTGAAGTCGGAAGTTGACATACACTTAGGTTGGAGTCATTAAAACTTGTTTTTCAACCACTCCACAAATGTCTTGTTAACAAACTATAGTTTTGGCAAGTCGGTTAGGACCTCTACTTTGTGCATGACACAAGTCATTTTTCCAACAATTGTTTACAGACATATTATTTCACTTATAATTCACTGTATCACAATTCCAGTGGGTCAGAAGTTTACATACACTAAGTTGACTGTGCCTTTAAACAGCTTTGAAAATTCCAGAAAATGATGTCATGGCTTTAGAAGCTTCTGATAGGCTAATTTACATCATTGAGTCAATTGGAGGTGTAC